TGAGAAGGCATGACGCGAAAAGGAGAGATTAGTGATGAGAGCCAGCAACCAGACAGGCACAGCCATTGTGAGCTTTTATGAGCAGATTCAGAGACAAGAAAAATTATTGTCATTGCAGAAACATACATGTGGCTCACAGAGACAAAGGTGTGATTTTTTTTTTTTTTTCTTGTTCAACACACTCACTTGGTGGCCAGAGGCAAGGCTAGCACACTTGAAAAGATATGCAGTCCAACCCAGAACAGCTAGAGGAAAAGAAAATACTTCTTGAAAGAAAGATCAGCAGGAGAGAAAAAAGCAGACTAGTTGTTAGAAGATCAAGTAAGCTGTTTGCCATGGAGCCATCAAGGTAAGAAAAGTCAGTCCATCAGTGTAAACTCCTGTCTAAAACTGAAACTCAAAAGGAGTACATTAGCAATCTTGTATGCTCATGAGCGACCATCCTGGTCAACTTGTGGGTAGAAGTGGGGGGGAAATGCATCAAAGAAGACATGAGCTAAGTTTGGCTATTTCCCATAACACCATTGACCTTGAGATGTGAGCGAGAGAAGAGGAAGGGCTGTCTGGTTTGATGTTCAGGGAAATGTGTGAACTCCCAAGCCCATGGACACTGACTAAGCCAATGGGGGCCAGAGTTGAGAGTGAAGTGGCCAGCTGATCTAAAGTTGAGAAAGCAGGTGAGAACTCCCAAACTTGCAGATAGTACCCATGGGTTCTAGCTTGGAAGGCTTGCTGACCAGAACTTGACCAGATGAAGACAGAGAAGTCTGATATGGGGAATAAGCATAAATTGCTATAATGACCTGGATCTTTGTTTATGGATGTAGTTGCTCAAAATTCCAAATGAAAGGGAAGGATTCTTCTTATTAAGGATCAAGCTCGCCTCCTCAGTATACTGGGTTGATAGGGATGGGCCACTTAGATACTGGCTATCAAAAATGGGGGGCTATAAGGCATGAAGTGGCAGGCTTAAAAGCTGTCATGAGTGTACTTAGTTTCAGAACCACCGGGTAAGGTAGAATTCCCACTGAATAGTTTTCTTCCTGTCCATATAGGTCTGCTGAAAGGGGGATGGGGGAGGATGGGGATAGGAGCATATGATTCAATTGTGAGTAATTGTTAGCAGGATTAATTGTGACTATCACAACTGTAAATGGAGAAGATATGTAACTAAAATGGGGAGTGGTTAATCATTCATTTCAGGAATGGAGGACCCTAGGACCATCAAGAGGGAAGAGCATGGGAGCCTAACCAGAAAAGCAGTAAGAGCAGCGACGGTGGCAGAGGTGATGGAATAGAGAGATAGAGCAACTGAGGACTATAGGCCCATGGAATGAGAAAGGCAGTGTGCCTGTGGGCAGGAAGTTGGCTTGCAAAATGTGCCCTCTGGACATTTAAACGAATATATATTTTCTGTGTGGTAAATAAACACACAAAGGGAACAGAGGTAAATACCGTTAAAATACATGGAGGGGATAGTAATCATTGCAATGAAACAAAATATGATTTGTTGAATGTAAAATTGATGATCTGCCCTGTAAACTTTCACTCAATTCACAATAAAAGTTTTTTAAAAATGGGATTGAAGAGTTATTGAAGACAAAAAGCGTCCTTTTGAAATATAGGTAACAGAAAGAGAAGCCTTATAATCAAAAAGACCAGTCAAATCTTAATGCTGTCTTTCAGTATCTGTGTATTTTTGGCCAAAGTATTTAACTTATGCAAGCTTATGTTTTCTTATGTATAAAGCAGAGATAATAATATTTACATGTAAGTGGTTATTCTGAAAATTGAGAGAGATAATGTATATGAAACATGAAGGCACAGTACATGTTCAAATACTGTTTGCTATTGATTGATTGTTTGTTCTTCAATATTAGTTTAGCAGTACAGTTGAACCTTGAACAACACAAATTTGAACTGCACTTATACTTGGGTTATTTTTCCTGCTGTTTTGCAGTGACCTCAGGTGTTGTGAGTGTCACTTAAAATGCCATATGCCACATGGATATCTTGGTTAGTGAATAAAAATTTGTATGGGGAAAAAAAGGTAGATGATCCACTTGTGGTTACGAAAAAAGTTATGCTAAATATTTTGTATCCTGAAGGAGCTCTGGTAGCGTAGTGGTTATGAATCGGACTGTGAACCACAAGGTCAGCAGTTCGAAACTACCAGCTGTTCCGCGGGAGAAAGATGAGAGGCTTTCTGCTCCCGTAAAGATTTACAGCCTCGGAAACCCTGTACAGGGTCGCTATGAGTCGGAACCGACTCCACGGCACATAACAACAACAACAACATACTGTATTACTTACTTAACATGATAATACCACATAAAGCAAGTATGAGAATTGTCCACAGAGAGATAGCGTTCTTCTTCTTCTACCTAAAAGAAAATGCAAAAAATAAATGATATATGAAATTAACTTTATAATAAATACAAACTTAGATTCAGGTATAAAGTCACAGAGGAACTAAGTAACATCTAATATTTGAGAAAGAGTAATGAATAAATTTCAGAATTGAATTATTAAATATCCACATAGGAATAGTTTAATTCTTTAGCCCTTCTCTGAAAGGAAGAATTTACTCTCATGAATGGCAAATTTTGAAAGCTTTTTGGTGTCTTGCTATCTTTAGTGTTTCCATTATATTTATTTTCCTCACTGAAACAGAATTCAATTAATGTTTTTGTCCAGTGATACTCAACAGGGACAATTTTGGTCCCAGGTACATTTCACAATGCTAAAACTGAGTGCTTTTGATATGTTTAAAAAACCAGATGTACCTCCTTAACAAGTTGTAGGATCTGATGTCAGTGTACAAAAAGGACAAAGATATTCTAATGTATGTGTGTGTGCATATGGTTTAACATAACATTATACATTTGTATGGACTCCCAATATACAATAAAAGACAAAGAACCCCTTTACTTCTTGTGAAATTGTGTTCTTTAAACTGGCAAATACTCATGAACTCAAAAACATTTTTCAGATGATTTTCACTCTATAGGGATTAAAAGGTGAATTAGTATGCATCTAGTCTCTCCCACATTTATCTGTCTGAAAAATAAAGAGTATTAATTAAAGAGAAGGCACAAATCTCAAAATAAAAGCATGACTTTTCCCATGGAGTCTCTAGAGCAATGGTTTCACTAACACTTGTGCCAGAATATCAGCTGTGAAGTGTGTGACCAGTATTTTGTTGCTTATTAAAGTTCCAATGTTTTCAAATGCCTGTTTTACCACTAGAGGAGATTTAACATAACTCTCATTCAATTTCAGTCACATATGGTTTCTTGAATTGAAAAAATGCAGTGGGGTAAAAATTAATCTGTAGAAATTGCTCTTAACTGGGTATGGCCGTAGGAGTGAATGCATAAGGGAGTGGGGTGGGAGAAAGAGGAGGCTTTCTGCTCCCACAAAGATTTATAGCCTTGGAAACCCTATAAAGGTTGCTATGAGTCGAACCAACTCCATGGCACACTACCACCACCACGATTACCACACATTTGAGAGTTCTCTTATCAGAAAACTGATGATAGAGAAGAAAAAGCAGCATTTTGTTCTGTTGAACAATAGGGTCACTATAAGTCAGAACAGACTTGATAAAGTCTAACATTACCATAAAGGTAGTAACTATAAACATTAACATATTTATTAGTTATAGAAACTAAGGTGAAAATTATATATCATTTCATTAATTATGATTTGATGGTGCATACTATGAGATATGGCAATAGTAGTGAGGTTGGACCAGGATCAGGCAGTGTTTCATTCTGCTGTGCATAAGGTCTCTATGAGTCAGCACCGACTGGATTGCACCTAACAACAACAACTATGAGATATATAAAAATTTAATGCTATATTAACAATACATTTCAAATAGCTCTGATTGATTATTATAACTAATGCTGTTAAAAAAGATTAAAGTAAAAAGTTTTGTTTTTTTTTTCTTGATAAAAGAAAGGATTCATACACTAGAGGGTAGACATGTGTTGATATGGGTACAGGCCCTATACAACTGGAGGGAGGTCAGTAGAAGAAAGATGGTGGAGGCTGGAGGCACAGGGAGGAATGAAGTAGTTAAAGTGAAAAGAGGTAAATGCTGTTAACTGTTGGTGCATAGAGGGGACTGCTCATGTAATGAAGCAAAGTATATGCTTTGTTGAATGTAAAACTGATGATGTAAACCTTCACTTAATTCACAATAAAAGGCTTTTAAAAAATAAACAAACAAATATTAAAACAGATTTAAATAGCTCAAAAGATAGGAAAAATAAAATGTAACTGGGATGATTATTCAAAATGTTAGGTTAGAGAGAGGCAGCAAGATGGCGGTCTAGGCAGAAAGGCTGCACAGACCCTCTACAACAAAGACAGGATAGCCAAATGAAACAGATGCAGATGATGGTCCTGAAACTCTGAACTTCAGATAAAGGGAGAGGGAAGTGGGCTGAATTCTTACTAGGAGAGAGTGCTGACAAGGCATGACACGAAAAGGAGAGATTAGTGATAAGAGCCAGCAACCAGACAGGCACAGACATCTTGAGCTTGTATGAACAGATTCAGAGACAAGAAAAATTATTGTCATTGCAGAAACATACGAGTGGCTCACAGAGGCAAAGGTGTTCTCAACACTCACTTGGTGACCAGAGGCAAGGCCAGCCTCTACCTACTTACACTCACAGGAAAGCTCCACTCACCCTGTGGTTGGAGCTGCACAGATTGACCTGCATTGACCCTGTTCGAGGGAGACATTGTACCAGATCTGTATTCTGCCTTGGCCAGCTCTAGATTAGCCCTAACTACGAGAGACAGCTGAACAGATGCATGGGGAGAAAGAAAAAAAAAAAGTCAGAAAAGAAACTGCTGATCTGTGCTGGTGGCCAGGCCAGCCTTGGTGTGGTCATCTTGAATTTTCACAAGTGACTTTGAAGGCAAGAGGGCAGTAAGTAGTGCAGAGGCACATCACTTATTGGTGGAAACAATTGGATAAACATTTTGTTTTCTTTATTTCTTGTACCCCACATTACCCTGGTGACTAGAGGTGTGGCTGACGTACATTCCTAGGGAAGATCCTGCTCTCAGAGCTGTCAAAGTCGCATCTAAGTGTGTGGAGAGATAGTAGTACCAACCCCAGCACCTGAAATCAGGTGTGGCTTATTTCAGACCTGCAGAACTCATTCTGATTAACCCTGGACTAGCCTCTCTGGGACTGAAATATCCCTATCCCCCAGCTGCTTTGGGGTCTACATGAGCTACTTCTGGATTGGGTGGCCAGAATATACAATATCAAGCCCTACAGGAACTCCATCTAAGGTTGAGTGTTATTACCTCATCCCTAGCAGGAGATACCAGAACTGTCTCCTTTCTGGGTCTGGGCCTTACTTTTTTTCCCCCTTTGTTTTTGTTTCTTTATTCCTTCTTCCTTGCCTTTGTTGCTCTTGCCTTCTCTCCTTTCATTTTTACTTCTTATTATTCCCAACTGCTCTGCTGCTGTTTCTTTCTTTCTTCTTCTTTTTAAAATCTCTATTTAATTTTGTTGTTGTTGTTGTTGTTGTTACTATGCTCTGGTCTCTTTCTTTTTCACTCATTCCTCTCCTAAATTGTGTTTAGGTCTTTTTCTTTCTTTCTTTCTTCTTTGTTTCTTTCTCTTTTGGTTTAAAATAACTGCTTTATATACTTACTATGACACATTTAAATGGTCAAAGAAATATGTAATTCCCTTTGAAAGCATACCAATCATATTCTAAAGTATTAAACAGACATATCAATTACTTATATAACCAATATTGTAAAGGAAAGGATAGAACACAAATGGAGAAAAACAAGGATATCAATTATATAAATGGCATTATCAAGACACAAGCATTTTTAAAAAGACAGTAAAATGATTTTATTATATGAATATATTTCAGATTAGAGAAATCAACAATACTGTACACCTAATTCTCACTGTCGACTATTTTGATATCTTGCATTTATGACAATAGTAAAAAAATCAATTTGACTATTTTGTGCACTGATGACATGTATGTAGCAGTAACAAACCCTGAGATGTGAGGTGAGAGTAACACTGGCTGGGATGGTTAGGGTTATGCGGTAATTTGGCTGGGCTGTGATTCTCAGTAGTCTGGCATTTATGTAATAATATATTCATACTCTGGTTTTACATAACACCAGGTTTTTCATAATGACCATGTCTGTGGAACCTAACCATGTTGGTAAGTGAAGAGTGGGTTATTGACTTGCTATGGGAATGACAACTAGAACAGTGATTGTCTTGAATAAACATTTAATTTGATTGACAATTATTTTATTTACAAGGTATTCTTTAGTATTGAGGGATTAAATTAAGCAAAAAACTCTTTCTATAATTCCTAGATTAGCTTTAAAGCTTTTGTCAACTAGATATATGAGAGCAATAAACTAAAGGCTACTCTTTAATAAGAAATCAATGCACATCCTATTGCCTTCTGGCTCTTTCTAGAATCAGATCCATTCTTCTCTTAACACCTCCACCTGGGCATTCAGTCCAATTTTTGGAATATGAATTTTATTGAGACCCAGACTAGCCTTTAAAACTTTGAGACTATTAAAAATGACTTTGCTTATGTCAAGATATTAGTTAGAAGGAATGGGTAGGTGTGTGGAAGGAAAATAGAAGCCACAGAGAAGGAAGCAATATAACGGGTGTTGCATGGAAGGAATTGCAATCATTGAGATGAAACCAAGCATATGATTTGTTTAAATGTAAACTGACGATCTTGTCTGTAAACATTGACTCAATTCATAATAAAACTTTTTTTTTTTTTTAAAGAAAGAAATAGGCTTTAAAATGCTATTTTTTTTGGTTGTTTTCTCAAGGAAACAATGCTAGTTTTTGTCCTTAACAATTTGCTTATTTATCTTAGTATAAGATTTTAATAAATCATATGAAGGAGCTCTTGTAGCGTAGTGGTTACGAATCGGGCTGTGAACCTTAAGCTCAGCAGTTCGAAACTACGAGCTGTTCCGCGGGAGAAAGATGAGGCTTTCTGCTCCAGTAAAGATTTACAGGCTCAGAAACCCTGTACAGGGTCGCTATGAATCGGAACCGACTCCACAGCACATAACCACCACCACCACCATGAAGTACTCAGCTAAATCACCTAGTTTTCAGGTTATGTTTCATCTGGAGGTAGATGCATACTTCAAGGTGCTCACGATATATGATATATGAAGCTACTATAGATGATAGTATATGTCAGTCATCCTTTGCTAACACAGTGATTTATACCGTCTGTAAATGGTATACACAGAATTTAGGTGTGGGTTTATATATTTTTTAAAAAGATATTTATTTTTTTCTAAAAAGTGTATCATGAATTGCTTCTT